CGATGCCTGTGGTGGTTGAAGGCGTTTCGACACTCGATGAGAAACCCGTGGTGTCAAGAGCGATGCCTGTGGTGGTTGAGACAGTTTCGGCACTCGCCAAAAAACCCATGGTGTCAAGAGCGGTGCCTGTGGTGGTTGAGGCAGCTTCGGCACTCGTTAAGAAACCAGTGGTGTCAGTAGCAACGCCTTTCGTTGTTAAAACTGTTTCTGCACTCATTAAGAAATCTTTGGTGTCAGCAGCAATGGCTTTCATGGTTGAAGCTGTTTCGGCACTTGTTGATAAACTCGTGGTATCAATAATGATGCCTGTGGTGGCTGAAGACATTTCGGCACTCGTTGATAAACTCATGGCGTCAACAGCGATCCCTATGGTGGTTGAGGCCGTTTCGACACTCCTTAATAAACCTTTGGTGTCAGCAGCAACGACTTTCATGGTTGAAGCTGTTTCGGCACTCGTTGATAAACCCGTAGTGTCAACAGCGATGCCTGTGGTGGTTGAAGGCGTTTCGACACTCGATGAGAAACCCGTGGTGTCAACAGCGATGCCTGTGGTGGTTGAAGGCGTTTCGACACTCGATGAGAAACCCGTGGTGTCAACAGCGATGCCTGTGGTGGTTGAAGGCGTTTCGACACTCGATGAGAAACCCGTGGTGTCAACAGCGATGTCTGTGGTGGTTGAAGGCGTTTCAACACTCGATGAGAAACCAATGGTGTCAACAGCTATGCCTGGAATAGTTGAGATTGTTCCGGCGCTCATTGATAAAGTATCTGTGTCAACAACGATGCTTTTCATGGATGGGGTTATTTCGATACTTATTAAATGGTCTATAACTGGAATTCGTTCTGTACGTATTACTTCACTTTGCAAGTCATCTAATAGTGTGAAAAAGAAACACGTTTTTATTAGCTCTATGCTATGCCTTTACAACTTTTGACAATGTTTGCTCTCTTCCCCCATAAAGATCGTAATATTAGAATTTATCAATAGTTCTTATATCAACTATAACCGATTAGTCTTCGAAATTGCGGTCCTACTTAAAAATACGTAAAATATAAAATGGGCACTGAATAAAAAAAATAAAAAAATCACTAATTTTAACTTCGAATTAAATTGTTCTTATAAACCTTATTTGTGGTTTTAATACCATAAACTATTTTATTAACCTTGCTGAATCTAATAAGTTGCGAAGAAAATCATAACAAGACGCAAGATATTTATACTTTTTAGCGTAAAATTAAAATGGAAACTTCGACCTTCGTTTTGTTAATCTCTGTATACAAAACTGCTTAGATAATCCAATTCATTTAAGATGTTCTCGCTCTTGTATAGTACGCTGATAAATTCCACTATAACAGTTACTGATCAAGCAGATAGTGTTTCACTGCGGCCATTGCAATAATAGGCTAACAGCATTAAACCTTTTGAAATATGTTATCCACACATTTCATAACGTAAATAAATTTTGAAGATTGATTTGGGATCACAATTATCATGATTAAGGTACGTTATCCTCCCATATATAAAAAGTTCATCGTGGCAAAGCTTAGGTTTAGGCTTTAATCCTCAAGTCACTCACTTTAGGGACCAAAATATATTAATAGGAATTGCCCTGTAAACAATTAATGGGGTTATTGGTTGATGTATTATCAATCGTCATCAGTCAAAGGTTGGCTCATTTTATCCGTCAACTATTAGTGAAAGCGACTATGAATAATTGCTATGTTAAGTATTCACCATTTTTTCGTACATAGATTTTATTACCTGAGCAAATTGACGGTTTTCGGTATTTCATCATATACATCTTGTAAAAATTGATCTAGTTTAAAGAAAACGTTTGGAAATAATTGAATGTGGGTTTGTTCATCATCCACTGTATCGGATTCTTAGGTTCGATTTTGTTGGACCTGTGAGGGTTAGTTACACCTTTGACCTCTTCTTTCTGTATCTCCGATATGTTCTTCTGGTCATATGACATGGGAGAATCAGGTGCACCATGAACCTCTACCTCCTTCCCGACTGTTGGTTTTGTTCATAGATGTCGTAGATGATGAACCTCCACCTCCTTCCCGACTGTTGGTTTAGTTCATAGATGTCGTAGATGATGAACCTCCACCTTCTTTCCGACTGTTGGTTTAGTTCATAGATGTCGTAGATGATGAACCTCCACCTTCTTTCCGACTGTTGGTTTAGTTCATAGATGTCGTAGATGATGAACCTCCACCTTCTTTCCGACTGTTGGTTTAGTTCATAGATGTCGTAGATGATGAACCTCCACCTCCTTCCCGACTGTTGGTTTAGTTCATAGATGTCGTAGATGATGAACCTCCACCTCCTTCCCGACTGTTGG